CTCTAGACTTCCAAAATAATGAAAAATGCTTTAAAAAGGCCCTAGTTATAGAGAATTCAAGCTACAAATGAGTTGTTAAAGTTGGTGCTAGTTGGCTCTTGGAATCACCAAAAGTTATTTTTTGAAGTTTCTACACTTTTCTTTACAGCTACAGCTGAAATTTTGAGTTGGAAAATAACTGCAAAAACTGAGTGAATGTAGAATAAGTTGATGAGCAAGTTGCAGCTACAATAAAAGAATACGTGACCTCTGCAAACACGGGCACGAGGTCGCGTATCACCCCACATTTTCCTCTTTTGCAGGTTTTCTCAATTTGGTCAGTTTTCAACATTATTGTATTTTTGCAACAATTTCTACTGATATTTTCTTGATAATAGAGGCTGAACTAACTCTTGCACAAAACATGAACAACTTTTTGAGTTAGCTTTTCTATTCTTTAAGAACCATCCAATTCAGAGATCCGTGGACTGAGAAATGACCAAAATACCCTCACTTGATCAATCTCCTATTTCAGCTTTCGATAACAAAAATAGCCAACTGTATTTCGATTTTTTGATTAGAAAAACTCATGAAATGGATTTCAATATCTCATAAGAAATCTAAAACTATGTGTTAGTTTCAACATAATTTAAGAATCACCTCAATCTGATGCTTGTAACTCAAGATGTAACCAAAATACCAACATGTGTCAAAACTGTCAAACTCCCTTTCTTTTGTACTTGATTACATTTCATCTCTTGAATATTTACACCTCATATTCTCTTTAAATCCTTTCAAATCATCAACAATCATCCAAATATCTTTTTAATTCATTCAATTTGATGATTGAATCATTGAAACCTACAAAAACATGAAGTTTTCACCACGTCAATCCATAGAAATGCAATTTTCACACTTTAAAACATAACCTGTAAATTTCACTAGAAACCTAGTTGATTGGCTATAAAAGTGAATAAAACATATCAAAACTAAATAATAAAATATACTTAAATCACTCAAAATACATACTTATCAAAAAGTTTTTATTCAATTCTCAAATTACAATTTGTTTGTAGCTTTAATTCAATAATGCTTTAAAATTTTTTATTCCAAGTGATTTGAATGATTTAACTTATTAACTTTGCTTGATTTTCGTGAGAGTACTAATTAAAACCAAATTCCATGGTATATTTTTTCATTTTAACACATAATATGCATTTAATAAATTACTTTAGTTTTTAAGTTTTCTACTGTGTGTTCAAATTATAGATTTTTTAATAGTCAAAAAAGCTAAAATCTATAATCAACAAAAAAGTAGTTTTTGCTGATTCTAATTATTCTCTATTATCACTTTGCATAATCAGATTTTGCAAGAACAAGGCCAAATTGGGAAGAAAACTTTCCCATGTGATTGAAGGAATGCACAAAGCAATTACCCAACTTTTGTAACTAAATCTTGTATTATCAAGACTTGTGATAGTAGTACACTAGATGCATGTACAACATTTTAAAGATCATAGTTAGTTCTAAGAAAAGGTTGAGTATGGAAAAACAATTAAACAAAGATGAGAACTTAGGAATAGAACATCACTTTTATGAATTTAAAAATTTTAATGGTTGGCCTGTTTGCTTAGCCTTTTTAGAGGAGAAATATTGATTAATCACTTCACTTAGCAAGAAAATGACATAATTTTGAGTATGCAAAAAGAAAAAATTTTGGAACGTGAGAACATAATTCACTTACATAAATTTATTAGATTGAGCCAAAGATTGTAAATTACCTTGACCTTGGATCTTAATTGAATCATCTCTTGCCAAGAATACCATCCACTGACTTTCACTCTTTGAATTGTTCTGCTTAGTTTTTTGTGTGCTTAATTTTTTCGACACTGATAGTGTATACACTGTCAGCATTAAATGGATGACAACTATGCAAAATTTGAATTTGAAATTCAACTTTTACACACATATCATGAATCAAACGGTGATAGTGTATACACTACCAATATATATAAAATTTACTCTTTGTTTTGTTACTATTAATGTTTTTTCCCCATTCATGCTTTAGTGATTGTGACAAGCACTCAGAGTTGGTTACGAGATAAATATGGGAAATTTGAAAGAAGGAAATAGTATTTGAATGGGATTAGTAGAGGAGAACGTGGTTGCTGGATTGAGGTAGTTATTTTGTCAATGGTCATTGGATTGAGGTAGTCATTTTGTACGTAGTGTTTGAGTACCGGTGAAGCACTTATGCTGAGGGTAAACTTAGAAATACAAAAAAGTAATAGGAAAAGTTTAGATTAAATTAACTATAGAGGGTTTATTATTAGTACTGTTAAGAGTACACCCAATGTGTGTGTAATTAGGAAACAATTAAAATAAATTAATTTTGTAAAAATATTGTCTGTTACATAAAAAAATTTGAATAAAATTTTCATGAAAGAACTTTGATTTAATGGTTATAGTGATATGGTAGTTGCAATATTTAGGGTGGTTATAAGTAGTTATATTAACAAAATATGAATATATGATTAGAATAAAAATTAATTTTTATAAGGATAAATTGAAAGTTCAAAAGATGATAAAAAATGTTTACACTAACTACCATTGCTCAAACATTGTATATTATATAGATATTATTGTATATATGTGTACTGCTATTTGGAAAAAAAAATAAAAAATCAAACTCAAGCATTAGAGTGTTGAAATTATATCTAAACTCATTAGAGGGTTAGCCTTAGAGAAATTTATAACCATTAGAAAAAGTTACTAGAGATAAATTTTAAGATTAATTTTTCTCAGACTAACAATGTATATACTAGTAGATTTGATGTATGGCAATTAATATCAATTTAAATTTGAAATCTAAGCTTTGTCATATTACTTTTATTTATAGTCCAAACGCATTAATGTATACAGAGCAAAGAAGATTAAAGGAAAAAGTATAATTTTAAATCTTTGCCGAGGCTCATTTATTCTAAACTCTAACCATGATCTTTGTCCATCAAAATAGCCTCACTTGACATTCATGTGAAAATTTGTGCCAAAGGACGTTAGAAAAATGGTTTCACGATCAATTAGTACTGCTAAAAGTTTGTAACAAACGAATTTGTTGCACTTCTTTTTTTTTTTTTTGGTCAAAAGTCAGTATTATCATTAATATATGAATAAACATGTATAGAGAATTTTTTTAGAATGCTGCATTGGATTTTTTTACCGTCTCCTGGCATGAACCAAGAGTGTGTTATACCGTCATTTTTCTCAGCTTCCTGGTAGACTTCGTGCAATCATTGAATTATATTTCATCAACATGCCTGTTGGTTTTTTGGGGCATAAACTAAGAAACAACACCTTAGTGTTGCAAAAAAACTTTATAAGAGACTTGTATTGAAGGTGGAAAATGAGCTTATGTTCTACATTCATCAACTCACTATTTATAGTGATTACATGAAACAAACTAGCAAAATATCCAACTAACAATTATTCTAAAAATCTCAATAAAATATAATCTTCTACTACTAGCAAATCTTAGCTAATATATTTGTTAACAAACCAACATGATTTTTGGTTAACAAATATCCTTATTTTCTAATAACTAAATTATTTTGATATCAAACCCAATCTGATGAAATTTGTAGAAAAAGTTGGCATATCTCAACACTCCTCCTTACCACTTTTGCTGCAGATTTTCAATTGTCTTCTCAAATCTTTGAACCTTACTTTGAACAAGGCTTTCATAAAAATGTCTGCAATCTGGCCATCAGTCTTGCAATGTTTCTTGAGCCAAACTTCAAAATCAATACCAAATTTTCCGGTGTATTCAAATAATTTCTTTGCAACTTGAAAGTGGAACTCCCATACGTAATAGATGAATCTAAAGAAGAAATTCACAATACAAAAAATGATTGCTATAAGAGACATAAAACAATCCTTCAAATTTTTGTATGGCCTTTTATCAGCTATGTCACCGCCATCATCCTTGGGTAGCATTTCATGAATTTTCACAATATAACCTCCTTCAATTGACTCATCAGTGATCTCCTCCTGAATTTTAGCAACATCTGATTTTTTGGTTCACCATACTGCACCTTAGAATTGTCAATAGTTGACAAATTCAAAGCAAAATATTTGCCTCATTTTCACTGAGAAAAGTTCATTCCCAATTGGATCATGTATAACACAAGTCCTATTTTTGAAGATGACAGAATAATTCTTCTCCAATAACTGTCCAACACAATATAACCTCCTTCAATTGACTCATCAGTGATCTCCTCCTGAATTTTAGCAACATCTGATTTTTTGGTTCGCCATACTGCACCTTAGAATTGTCAATAGTTGACAAATTCAAAGCAAAATATTTGCCTCATTTTCACTGAGAAAAGTTCATTCCCAACTGGATCATGTATAACACAAGTCCTATTTTTGAAGATGACAGAATAATTCTTCTCCAATAACTGTCCAACACTTAATAGATTTTGATTAATTTCAGGTACATACAAAATATTAGAAATAATTTTGGTACCTGAACCATAATCAATAGCAACACTACCTTTGCCTTTCACCTCAATGTAATCTCCATTTCCAATTCTGACTTTGGAGATTTGCGATTTATCAAGTTTCCTAAATATAGATTCATCATATGCCATGTGATGAGTGCAACCACTGTCTATTAGCCAAGTTTCAGTATTGGAATTATTGCTTGCAAAACATGTGGCCATGAAAAGTTGCTCCTCATCTTGTTCATCAACCATCTGAGCGTGATGTTCTCTTTTTCCTTTATTTTTGCAAACTCTCTCCATATGTCCCATTTGCTTACAAAACCTACATTGAATGTCAGGTCTAAACCAACAATATATTGAAAGATGTGAGCTTTTCTTACAGTGTGGACACAGAGGATTTCTGCCATTTTTCTTCTCATCTTTGCTATTTTTTTCTTGATAATTTCTTTTACCTTGTCGAATTTGATCCTTGTTTATTGCTTGAAAAGCACCTTCAATGATTTCTTCAGTTCTTATGGCTCATCTTTGTTCTTGTGCCTTTAGAGCATTGATCAATTCTGGCAAGGTCATCCGAGAGAGATCTCTTGAATCTTCAAGAGAGGAAATCTTGGCTTCAAACCTTTCTGGTAAACTCACCAAGACTTTCTCCACAACTCTGCTATCTGGAAGTTGTTCTTCAATCAATCTGATTTTGTTCACAACATTTAAGAGTCTGTCAGAATACTCTTTAATGTTTTCTTTGTCTTTCATTCTAAGGAGTTCAAATTCTCTCCTAAGGTTCAAAACTTGCATCTGTCTTGTTCTGTCATTGCCTTGAAAAGCCACTTTAAGAGCATCCCAAGCTTCTTTTACAGTTTCACAAGTCATAATTTTTGTGAATACTGCATCAGAAACTGCTGAATGAATGCAAGTCATGGCTTTTGATCTCCTTTTGATTACATCTCTATGGGCTCTCATCTCTGCAATAGTTGGATCTTCTGACAATTCAGGAACAGAAACTATCTCTACCACATTCCAAAGATCATTAGCATCCAAATAGGGCTTCATTTTGACAGCCCAGATTTGATAATTTTCACCAGTAAAATTTGGAGGATTGGATAAGAAGTTGTTTCCTGGCATTTTGATGTTGAGGGCTTGAGTGTGAAAAATGAATTCTCACTAGATTTACTCACTCTCAAAGAAACAGGCCCTTAAGATTTAAGCTCTTGATACCACTTTGTTGGTTTTTTGGGGTATAAACTAAGAAACAACACTTTAGTGTTGCAAAAAAAGCTTATAAGAGACTTGTATTGAAGGTGAAAAATGAGCTTATGTTCTACATTCATCAACTCACTATTTATAATGATTACATGAAACAAACTAGCAAAATATCCAACTAACAATTATCCTAAAAATCTCAATAAAATATAATCTTCTACTACTAGCAAATCTTAGCTAATATATTTGTTAACAAACCAACATGATTTTTGGTTAACAAATATCATTATTTTCTAATAACTAAATTATTTTGATATCAAACCCAATCTGATGAAATTTGTAGAAAAAGTTGGCATATCTCGACAATGCCTTATGTTATAACTCAACACATATGGGAGTAGTATTTCTGATTTTTTTTTTTTGCTTAAATTGTTATATTGGAGGTTTGGGTTATGTCTTGGTCCTGCTTTCATTTTTTATTAATAAAGTTTGAACTAATCTTATATTACCGTTAGATATATGACACATGTGCAAAATTTGATGAAATTTAAAATTTGGTCATGTGTTATTTATCAAACCATAATAGTGTATATACACTAACAGTGTATATAAAATTTACTCATAAAATTTTGAAGTTGATAGCTCTTTTTCAAGTACGGGATTTGCTATTACAAAAAAAAAAAAAAAATGTACAAAAGACATGTACATTTATATGGTAACTGCCCTTAGATCATCCTGTGCCTTTCTACTGAGCCCGAGGGGGAAAGATCGTCTCCACTCCATACTACAACAAAGGTTATGGCGAATTTTTCCACTTCATGACTGCTCTGATTCCCTCCTCTTGTAATAGAAGGAAAAGGAACATTTACAACAGGTGTTAGCAAGAGCAATAATATCTTCCAGTAACGCATTATTACTTCCTAATCTGGTCTATCGCTGATTTACAGTCTCATTGCACGTGTACCTGTCTCCACCCTTCTTCTTGTGCTTTCACCAGTTGCTAACCTGATGGTCATTGTCCTTTCTGGTTGAGCCTCCATATTTTGCACCACAGGCAAGATGCGTGAGCATTTGGAGGATTTGGGCCTAAAATTATGACACCACGTCTAACCGAACCCACATCTAAATCAAAATCATGCAAGACAAGTATAGGGTTGAGTTGGGTCCATATGCAGACTCAAACTCATCTTACATAATGTCCAGATCTACATTGCTACAAATGAATAAAACCTGTATAACAAATCTGCAAGCAATTGGGATTCAATTGAAACATAGAAAGCAGAGATCATACAGCCTTCATCCATTGTAAGATTCAATCATACACATATAAATTCATTATTCGGATACATGTTTGCTTTCAATTATTTTTAAAGAAATTACTATCTGGGAAATGTTAATGTCATCCTACCTTTTCATACTGGCGCTCGTACTATCTTTCATATTTCATGATATTAGGATAAATGGTGAAGAAGATAATGTGATTGTCACTATAAATAGTGGGATGTCATTAAGAATTGTATTTGTATTTGAATTAATCTTATATACACTATCGCAATTGGAGGCAAACACATATGTAAATTTTGAATTTCAAATTTAAATTTAAATTATGTGTTATATATTTAATGACGAAAGAGTATAGAAAATTCAACCTTTGTATTTGTGGGTAGACAAGAAGTACAAAGACGACATAAGTTATGGGTATGAATTTTTTCTTTTAGGTTTATTAGATTTTCAGCATGGATTAGGGCCTGAAAAATTGGATGGGTTTTGTACAAAGAAGATTTTAGCTCAAATTTTACCCATTAGAACACCTGATTTTGATTTTTATAAAAATTAGATAGATAACAACATTTGTCAATTGGTATGATCTCTATCTTATAGTCTCATGTTTTGGATCCTGGGTAAGCATCCCTTTGCACAAAATTTGCGTCGAAAACATTAGGCGTAATTACTTGCTAAATCCATACCCAGAGCTGAGTACTATTGGGCCCAAGAAAGGAAACCCATACCTAGACCAAAGTGGGCTTCGTTAGTCAATGAATATTAATAATTTCGGAGAATTAAAAGTTAGGGTGTACAGACCCTTTTATATATCATATTCATAAATAAAATTTACCGTTAGATGATAAAAGAAGTGTTATTGACCCTTAAATTAAATATTTAAAAATTAAACTATTTATCTTCAGAGAGAGATACAAGTTGAGGGAATGGTACTTGAAAGGGATCATAGAATTTTCCTAAAATTAAGTACATTTGCAAGATTCTTAATAATAAGATTATAGCAATGAAATCAAATTGAGTTCTACTTTAGTATAAGCAAGATATAACCATTATTGTCAACCCCAAAAAATGACTATTCTAACAAGCTTATATGATCCAAAACTTACAATTAACAAGGAAATGTTCGCAAAATCTGAAATCTGAAATAGTTATATGACTTTTTTTTCTTTGTCAAATTCTACAAACAAAAATAGAAAAACTCGAAACATAAATGCTACCAAATAGCTCCTCAATAATTGCAACTTGTAAAAAAAACCATTTTAAAAACATTTATCGAGTAAGAACAACCATATGGCAAAGACACTTTCCATTCAAAAATTTTTGGACAAACATATTGTTATGTATCTTTTGTTGTCTTCCATAGGTCCATTCTAAGCATGAAGACGAAGTCGAAAGTGTTCAAACACTTGAAGACACATTCTCACATCAATGACATTTGTTAGCAATCATGCATGTCATGTATGTTTAGCCATTAGGGGTCAATCTCCATGTGTACCTTATCTTCAGTGATCAAAAATTGCATTAATCAAGATTTGGATTCTGTAAGATATAACCATACAATTCGAATGAGTACAACAACTTATGTTCAATTTTATGAGGGTGAGGTAATGAAAATCATGTAAATTATTACTCATCAACTAGTTGATTGGCTGTCCAAATCACATAATTTATCAGTTGTTGTTTCTCAAAATATGGTGTGAATTAACTAGAAAACTTAAACCTAAATCATTACAAAACAAAAAGTGCGTGTGTGTGTACATATATATAATAATGTTTACAAATATCCCATTTGATATGCATTAGATGACACTCATAAATTTTTTACAATCTCAGGTTATATTATTCTCTTCAACACTAATTTTTTTTTTAAAAAAATTAAACTATTTTAAATTGTTAGTTGCATGAATACAAAAAATGTTGAGTTCGTTTGAATTGCAAATTTTTGTAGAAAAATATATTGTAGTGATGTGATGTGTGTAAAATAAAAAGGTAATTGAAAAATTTGTCAAGAAAATTTTTCTGTGAAAACTTGCAATCTAAATTGTGCAAATTTTTAGCAACTAATTGATATAATATAGTTACATGATTGGCTTTCTAACATACAACAATAATTTGTCACGTGGATTGTGAAGATATTTTAGCACAATATGTTGACCAAATAAAAGGATTTTCCAAGCATCACATGGGGTGATCTTAATGGTTGTGGTGACCCATGAAGGAAATGGCATTGGGTTCTTAGAAGCATGCATGTGTCTGCGTCTGGGAAAGAAAAGCTCAAAGGATTATCTGGACTTTTGCTCCTCTTGAAAACCACATTGGCTGGTCAAAGCATTTTCTCACTTTGAAGTGGGAGATCCATTCATTATACTGCGAAAATGAACCACACAATATGATGCTAGATGACATTATCTTATCGACAAGACCAACTTTATCTTTGATAGCTACAAAGATGATGATATGTTGGTCCTACTTTGATCTTGGTCCCCTGGAAGCAGTTGCAAGTTCACTTCGGAGAATCGTGCAAGGATTCGGGTCATCGACCTTTAGTTCTAACCACTCGAAATGAAGAGTATTTACAACCTTTTTTAAGGAAAAAGATATAAAATACGTTTACGACTAAACGAATTAAGTGAGAAAGATAAAAAAAGAAGATGTCTCACTTTATAAACACTTCCTATTTTTCCTTTCTTCTACGGATGAAGTTAATTTTAAGACCCATATTTTTGCTTTGAAATTTCGTGTTGATGTTTCGCTTAGTAGAGCCATGCTATTTTTGAAAATAGCATTGTCACATTTGTTTTCTCTCAAAATTTTAGAAGGCAAATTTATGAACAAAAACTATTAGAGGGTGAAGTGCATCACCTGTTACAGCACTTCTCAAAAATCTCATTTTATTGATTGCACTATATTTCATGTCAATTCACCCACTAAACTGGTAAAAAGTATTTAGTTAAATCACTTTGAATTTACAGCACAAGAGTTGCGCACTATATTTTTCTTAGTTAAAGAAAAATTTACAGCACAAGAATAGCGCACTATATTTGTAGGAGCATGTGTTTTACATGTAAAAATAAGGATTAATCTTACACTGTCAGTATTGGATGAATGATAACTATATAAAATTTGAATTTGAAATTCAACTTTTGCACACATGTCATAGATCAAACGATGATAGTATATACACTATCAATGTATATAAGATTTATTCAAAAAATAATATAGTGGACAGCGAAATGGGACATTTGATATTTTTAATTACTGAGTAGCACATGCTTTTAAAAAAAAGAATGTAAAAAAAAAAAAGAGTTAGGGGAACACTGTTAAGGGATATAGTAGTTTAGTGAAGGGCGAAGAAGAATTAAAAAAGAAATTTTTTAAAAACGATTTTGAAATATGGCTGCTTTTTTTTTTTTAACGTATTCACCAATTTGAGTATTTTGTTAAAAGTGTTTCCATGGCTCTATAACTTTCACCTTTTCTGTCTCCTTTTTTTTAGATATATAAATCCAGTTATTTTCTCACTAAAACACCTCTATTGTTTTCCTAAGAAAAATAAGAATGCAAGAATCATTATTGTTGTAGCTTTTTTAGAAGAATTTTTTCCTTATAGGCTTTAATAATCTATGGCGCCAGTCAGTGAA